GGCATGTGGTGCTGGGGGATTGAACCGCGGTCCCTGATGCTTTGCCAAGCTTGTTCTAAGTAGGTGCTTTAGACCACTGAGCCATCTCTCCAGCCCCTCCTTGGACTTGTTTAGCCAAGTTTTCCAGGCCTGGTCCGGTGTCATTTCTGCTTTTTTTTTGTCTGGCTGTGCCTGCCTGCCCGCCCATCTACCTGCCTGCCTGTCTGCCTTCCTGCTTCCCTGCCTTCCTGCCTCCCTCCCTCCCTCTTTGTAATGCAGACTGGCCTTGAACTCACTATATAGCCCAGGCTGGTCTTAAACTCACTGTGATCCTCCTGCCTCAGCCTCCTGAGTGCTAGGATTAGAGGTATATGCCACCATACCCAGCCTCTTTTCTTGTCTTTTTAATTCTTTGCATTATTCAGTAGAATTTGTGAGAGGGACTATCAATAAGCCTTTGTGCCCTACTTGCCATATTTAACTCAAACTCTTATTCCTTATTTAAATTTTATTTTATTTTATTTTAGTACTAGGAATTAAACTCAGAACCTTGTGCTTGCCAGGAAGACACTGTGCCACTGAACTATATTCCCAGTCCTCTTATACAAACTTTAAAACCTATTAAACCAATACCTGTTTGACAAGTAGATTTGTTTATTTACTTACTTGTCTTTTTTGAGATAGGATCTTGCAGTGCAGTTCAGGCTGGTCTTGAGCTTACTTTGTAGCCCAGACTGGTCTCAAACTGACAACAGTCCTCTTGCCTCAGCCTCCTGAATGCTGGGATTACAGGTGTACGCCACCACACCCGGCTGAAAAGTAGTTACAAAATATTGCAGATGTGATATTTTTCCAAATTTAGGACAGTTTGGATGTGTGCTTTCAGATATGGCAAGATAAGGACAGGCTGAGGGTAAGAGAGAAATGGTAGGTTTCCTGTGCAGAGGGAAGAATGCAGGCAGGTGAGTGGGAATTGGACTCCGTTAAAACAGTGTAGTTAAGCAGAAAGTGAGAGGTCTGGCAGGTAAGTGTGAAGACCTAGAGAGAGATTTAAAAAAGGTAATTTAGAGAAAGGAAATGATCAGAATACAGGGGATAAGAAGCATGTCAGTGGTGTTAAGACTTTTAAGCTTCTAGTAATCAAAATGCCAGTTGGTTACAGGATAATATTTACTCTGTTTTGAAGTCTGTCCACCTTGTTCTTATTCCATGGGTCTGTTTCCTTAGAAACAGAATATTTAAGCTGCTTCCTGAGAGTTGAAGAAGTCTAATTTCACCTCCAGTGCTTGGACTGTGCCCTTTTAGATACCCAAACACAGCCTGTGAGCTTCTGACTTGTGATGTGCCGCAGATCAGTGACAGACTAGGTGGGGATGAGAGTCTGCTGAACCGTCTGTATGACTTCCTGGACCGAGAACCACCACTCAACCCTCTGCTTGCCAGCTTTTTCAGCAAGACCATTGGCAATCTCATTGCAAGAAAAACTGAACAGGTAATGATGTTTGAAGTCCACTTTTTCTGAGCAGCCAAAATTGTCACTGCAGGTGGCTCAGGCTTCGGGGGTAGAGTTTTGCCTGCTCAGTGGGACACAAGGGGAGCAGTGTGGATGGCTGACTTGAGACTTGAGTTTGAGTAGGAAAGTGCATTTCAGAGATGTTTGTGACGGTCTGCTCAGAAGTAAGCAGCTGCTTCCTGCCCACACTGGGGCCAGCTTTTCCTATAATTGACACAAAGTCCTAGACCATGCCTTTTTCATGAAGAACCTTAGCTGTCCATCTGTTCATGTTTGTGTTTCTCTGTGTGGGAAACGTGCCTGTGTATTCAGAGCACTTACTACTTCAGAGCAAGCAGTGATAATATGTCCATTAGGGTTTTCTTTTTCTTTTCTGAGGGGGGACAGAAATTGAACCCAAGGGCTTTCTACCACTGAGCATACCGCTAACCCCCCTTTTTAATTTAAAAAAAATGTTTGAGAGAGAATTTAACTGTTTAGTTCAGATTGGCCTTGAACTCACCGTGTATCCTAGACTGGCCTTCAACTTGTGATTGTCCTGCCAAGTGCCGAGATTCCTGGCATGTGCCACTATGCCCTGCCCCCCCTTTTTTAATACCAAGTTTCACTGAGCTGCTCAGGCTTTCTGTGAACTTACAATTCTCCTGCCTCAGCCTCTCCAGTAGCTGGGATACTGTCATTTGCCACTGTACCCAGAAGCTAGCATTGGTCTTTTGCAGAAGAGTGAATCCGTCTTCTAGCTGTAGCTCATCTTTTCGTGCCTTACTCTCAACCCCACATGGGCTTCAGCCCCTCCAGACACTCACTCACTCTCTCTTTCTCTGTCTCTCTCCCCCTCCCCCTCCCATCTCCTTCTCCTCTCTTTCCCTCCCCTCCCCTCCACCTTCTCCTTCCTTTCCCCTCTCTGTCTCTCTTTCTTCCTCCCTCCCTCCCCACATCCTCTTTTTGAGGCAAGGTCTCCTTACAAAGCTCAGGCTGGCCTTGAGCTTACTTTGCAGCCCAGGCTGATTTTGAACTTGTAACAATACTCCTGCCTCAGCCTTCCAAGTGCAGGGATTACAGGCTTGCACCACCATGCCCAGCTCCCTCCAGACTTTAAACACTGATTGGGAAGACATGGTGGCAGCTTGTGTCTGCTGTTGAGTTTGCAATGGCAAACAGAAACACTGAAACAGGGCCAGCCAAATAGCTCAGTGGATTAAAGCATCTGCAAGCAGGCACAGGGGCCGGGGTTCTATCCTGGGCCTGCTGTGCCGGCCCCACCCCCCGGGGTTCACTGAGATTGCAATTGAGACTAGGTGTGGTGGTGCGCACCTGTAATCCCAGCTCTTGGGATGCTATAAAACAGGCAGATCACTAAGACTCTGATCTAGTAGTGAGACCCTGAACACTGTAGTCTCTTTCCTAAAAATACAAAAACAAAAAAGAAAAGAAAAGAAAGAAACACTGAAACAACAACCAGGATTTGGTGGCAGGTTTATTTACATCAGCTGGCTCTGGCAGCTGGCTCTGGTGAGGATCACTCCCCAAAATCAGGTCCTGATCTCTGGTGGTCTAGGGCTGGGGGATATTATTGTACACCTAGGGAGAACTTCAGCCAAGTTAACAGTGAAATTATGAATTTCATAATTTATTGTAGTCTGCCACTTTTAGATATTTCTTTATAATTTTACTGGCTCATATATTTGTCTTTTCTTCCTTTATCTAGTTCTTTTTTTTTTTTAATTTTATTTGTGAGTGTGAGTGTGTGTGTGTGTGTGTGTGTGGCCAGCTCAGCCCACCAGGGGGCAGGGCTGGCTGGCATGTGGTGCTGGGGGATTGAACCGCGGTCCCTGTGCTTTGCTAAGCTTGTTCTAAGTAGGTGCTTTAGACCACTGAGCCATCTCACCAGCCCTATCTAGTTCTTAATGCATTAAATTAATGAGTTTGGGGTCAGTGAGATAGCTTAGCAGACTAAAGATCCTGCTTAGGCAAGCTTAGACAAGTGCAGAGACTGCTGTTCAATCCCCAGCATCACATGCCATGCCATCCCCATCCCCAGGATGGGCTGAGCTGGCCAGAGTCTGGGCATAGTGGCACACGCCTGCCTGTAATCCCAATGCTGGAGAGGCTGAAAGCAAGAGGAGCACCATGAGTCTAAGCTGTGTAGTGAGATCCTGCAACAACCAAATACATTAAAAAAAAATTAATAAGAGCTAGAAGTTTCCTGTGATAATCTCTAAGAATGGCTACAGTTGATTGTGTAATACACATTCCACTGAAGTCATTCAGTAGACTCACAGTTGCTAGTTTTCACACATTAATACCAGACTTGGAGTATTGCAAATTATTTTTCTCACATATACATACATCTTGAATCTTTCACTAAAAGCCACCTTGTTCCCTTGTGTCACTAAAACATGATTTATGTCAGTCATCCAGGTGTCCACTTGTGCCCATGCTGACTGAAACTGGCATGGCTGAGTGAGCCTTCCTTCTCTGTTTTCCCAGACTCACGGAGTGGCCCAGAGCCTAGCAAAGGAACAAAATTTGTTCAAACATGTAAAAATTAGATTAAATCATCTACAAAAAACCCATCATCTAGGAACTCCCATGTCTCTGTCATCTCTGTCCTGGTTTCTGTATGAGCATGACTAATGTCCCCCACGGGGCTGAAAAGGTCATCAGTGGAACTTACTGGAGGCGGATCTAGAATGTGAGACTAGACTCAGCGTGTGTGATTATTACATGGGCCCAGAGATTGCTTTGGTGTCATTCTGGGTGTGGCTAATGCAAGGCCCATCCTGGGTGTGAGTGCTGCCTGCCCTAAAGGTGGGTACCCTGGATAGAATATAAGGGACAGCAAGAGGGCTGCTGTCACTTGCTGCTTGTTCCTTCTTTGCTACTTTGCTGCCTTCCTGCCTTCTTCCCACCATGAACTGTTTCTCCTCTGTGATGTCCCTCTGCCATGACACCCTGCCTTGGAGGCAGCCAACTGTGGACTGAAACCTCATCAAACTATGAGTCAAAATAAAACCTTTTCTCCTTTTACATTAAGTCTTCGGTATTTTGTCTCAGCAAAAAGAGAAAAGTGGGGGCCGGGGAGATGGCTCAGTAGAATAAGCGCTTTCCTGGCAAGCGCAAGGGCCTGAGTTCAATCCCTGGTTCCACAAAA